GTAGGGTGGTAATTGCGTGCTGTACAATCATCAGCATTGTTGCCGGCTCCTCCCGCCTTGAGTTGGAAATGCTATCTACATCGTAAGGGCAAAGAAGTGTTCGTTTCACTTTGTACTGTCGCATTAATAGCCCTTCGCTCATTTTCAACTTCTATTATATTTTCATACTGCCTACTCTAACGGAACTATCTACCTACCCTCTTCAAAGATCAATTTCTAGCTAATAAATTATCATACTAAAGCTTCATGTTCGATAGCATTTCCAACCAATTCTGAAAATCGCAAACTTTGATAGCATTTTCAAACAACTCTCGACAAATATCAGGCTTAAAGAGGTCATTTAATACAATAGATGAGGTAAGATGAAGTAACATAAATACACTTTAAAAGCTGATATTCGTCGTTAAGCATCTTCAACTACTTAAATGGCTGTCCAATAGTTTCTACATGTCTGTTTACACGCTAGACATATCAACAAACGTCAAAAATCGTTAAAAGCTACTCCAATAGAATAGACATGATTGTCATATATGATACATCTTTTAGTGAGCGAAATTCATCACGAGCACAGGTATTTTTGCTGGATTTTATTGTAGTGCAAATTTATATTTAGTGTGTTTCTAGATGTATGTTTCCACCCATGAAATATCAGCAGTTATTCGCTGTAGAATATATTGGTCAATATTAGTATACATCTTACCCATAGCTAACCATTTTCAAAGCAAAAGAATGCAATGTGATAAGCATATGAAATTACGATAGAAATCATTCTTTATCGCAGTGGCAGTTTTTAACTGATAATCCAATGGAATCTATCAATCATTACATAGAATAAATAAACCTTCTCACATTGCTATGTTATAAGATGGATCCAATAAAATGCAAATAAGAAAGATACATTTTCTCTCTGCACACTGAACAACATCAAACAATCTCTACACGCTCAAAGAAAAACAACCAACTTTTCAGCACGTATTTTGATTTAAATTCTTTTGGAGGTGAACCCGTCAAAAGCTAAAAGTCTCTTTAAAAAACAAAAACCATCTTGACAAGAAGGACAAACCACGAAATTAATTTCGTGTGTGCTAAATCTGTGTTTCCCAGGATCAAATTATTGTTCGCAGTGGATTTATGTACTGAACAGAGCCTTGGTTTTCAGAAATTATGTTACACTCAATCCTGCTTTCTACGGAATTTTTTTTTCGTTCATACTTTTGATCGTGTGATCCCAAATTGCAACCAAATTTGGAGCAATTTGTTTCAAAAATCAGAAAAAAATATGATGATATTAAAATTTCTGTACTCATCCTAAATCAGGACGAAATCGAAGAAATGAAAATCACATAATACATAATTTAGTGTACTTCTCTTCCCTGAATGCGTACTTTTTTTTTTCATTTTGACGAAATTGTAATAAGTTGGTTCTATATCTCACCATAGGTGGATAAATTAAGGAAAATGAAAAGATGACAAAGAAACAGCTGTGCACAAGGAATCAAAAATATCTCCAAATGACAAAGTAACCAGCGATCAACGAACCGAATAGTAACGCTATGTCAGAACAGAGCTAGTAAATAGCACGGCCGTCATGTGACGATGAGAAAACAGGTCCTCTCACTATAACGAGACGAAGCGACCGATTATTATCATTCTTGTCATTTTTCAATGATCAAGCACTCATGAGAATAATTCTTATGCGGTTTTGACATCAGCATTTCTAACTGATTTAGATGAATTTAAGCAAACAACCATATGTAATCGGTAGAGTGAATATATTATTAGGATTTCCTCGGTACATGTAACTTTAATAGCATTAAATTCTGTCATGACAAAAAAATCGTTGAGATTTTGAAGAAAATCTCTATCATCGTTTTCTCATCCAATGATAGTGACAGAAGTATCTCTGTAAATATCGCGAGAGATCTTTCATTGAAAATGACTTTTGCCAGCCCTGGTCAGAAGTGCAAAGCAATAATGATATTATATTCTTCCTTCTTTTTCATGACAAGCAGCCCATGCGACACATCTCACTAGGGGGCGGTAGAAGGAAACGAGCAAATTGTTAGCAAGCTGCTTCACGAAGTAAAGCCGAAGATGATACACGTGTGTTAATGGGAATTTTTTTGTTATGTCTTTTTTCGATACATGTCAAGCTATGTCCTCATCCGTGTATATTGCAACCAGCGTTGCCAGTATTCCAGATTTATCTGGATTTTCCAGATTTTCGGTCATCCGGCCAGATACAAACTTGCAAACTTTTAAAAATAGTGGGCCTGAATGTTTGTTTAATTGGAATTTCTATTTACTTTTATTAAAAAAATTAAAATTCCAATATGGAGGAATCTTCAAATTTTTTTAATTTAGAGAAATCGAAAACTGTTCAGGATTGAAAACAATAAATTTAGCCTTGGAAAATTAGCAAGGATTTTGAATCTAGACAACCACCAGGACTTTGAAGTATGTTTGTGAGATTTTTGAGGATAATTCATAAGGAAAATTTGAAGGCATCTTATAATTTTTAGCATTTAAGTACCTGTGAATATTGAGCCACAGTAGTCTGGATTTTTTTAGAATTCTGAATTGCTCTAAAATTTCATTATTTTAACGTAATGTTGAAAATAGTTTACAGTGAAGTGTGAGGCAAATTCTTTGTTAAACCAAAGGAGAATTTCAGGTTAATTCTGAGTAGAGTTCCATCCATCTTTGTAAAGGCCAGGCATGGAAAATCATTTGCATTCATTTCATACATTCATTTACATTCATTTGCCTCTAACTTTTTTCATCAACAGCATTCCGCAAAATGATCTATAGAGCTTTTGTAGGTTTTTTTATTAGCTACAAGTTTTGGTCATAACTCAAATCTGTATATCTTATCTTGTCGTGCGGTGTCACCTGTCCTTCAGGTGTATTGTGAGTGCCACGAAATGAGGGCTCGATTCCCGCTCCAGCCAGTGGAACTTTTCGCAACCTGAAAATTTCCCTACTGGTCTACTGGGTGTGGTGTGTGGTCTGGTTGAATACAGTGTCAGTTGTCTTTTAAAAACTCTTATGACAATTGCATAGATATTTTGTGAAAAATGGAAATAGAATTCGAAAGAGAAATCAAAGAAATTATGATGAAACTGAAGGAGTTTCCTGATACGAATCGTGAGAATAATTTTAATTGAATTCTGTTCATTGTTTCTACGGAGATTCATTTTTATAAAATTTTAAGAAATTTAATCGGAATCATGCCAAAAGAACATCTGGCAATTTCTGGGAGACTTTCAACGCCATTTTGGCAAAGTATCAAGTTCTTAGCAAATACTGAAAAGGATTTCAAAAACAATTCTGACCTTACCTATAAAGCAGCTCAAAGGGAATTATCGGATAAGTCTGAAAGATGAAAACAAAATTATGCCAATTCTTGGAAATTATTGCTAGTTTGAGGGAGTTGTGGGATCAAAGATTGATTTATAAGAGATAACAAGAGAACTCTTAAAATGTTACTGAAAACGTTTGGATATTATCAAGATTATTTTTAAGTCTGAAAGATGAAAACAAAATTATGCCAATTCTTGGAAATTATTGCTAGTTTGAGGGAGTTGTGGGATCAAAGATTGATTTATAAGAGATAACAAGAGAACTCTTAAAATGTTACTGAAAACGTTTGGATATTATCAAGATTATTTTAGAGCAATTCAGAAATGAAGTATGATGGAATTCTAGGATGATTCAAATGGAACTCTAAAAAAAAGGACGAAGATATCCTGTAAAGAGGTCCATGTAAATTCAGACTAACAAAAAATTTCATGATCTGGGACCCAGGAAATATATAAATTCCGCTTTCAGACTTTCATTTTAGTTATATAATAAAATTATTCGTAGTGGTAATGCAAACAGTTGAGTTACCTGTAGTTTAGATAAACTGCGTGTGAATACCACGATGTTAGGCTTTGATTCCCACTTCAGCCTGGTGAATTTTACTTTACAATAAAATTGCTTACTGCCTGCTATGATGTCAAGAATTACATTGACTTTTAGTTCAAAAAATCCATCCCATCAAAGTTGCTTGATTTTTGCTTTTAATTTTTTTTTTACAGTAGCAGTTTTAAAGCAATTCTGAAAAATATTTTCTGCAGTATTTTGCCAGCGATTTAACTCAATTAATTTTTTTTTTCACTATAGTCACTTTAACGCTCTTGGGTCATTCGTGACTTGTCCGGGGTGAGATTTGAACTCGTGACTTTGGCGTGAGAGGTTTGGATGCTAACCACTACGCCGGGGTCGCCCCCACCTAACTCAATTTTTGAAATGCACCGTAATGGATATTCAAACTTTTTGGGCACATTGTGTCAATACTTTTCCTAATTTTTGGGCGATTTAAGCAATGCTAACAAGCTATTTGTTTTATTTAATTTATTTAAACATGTAATTCATAAACATTCTGGTACTTTGAATCAATTCCAGATGATCATACTGACCATAATGTTAAAAACAGGATTTTTTGGAGCCTTTCAGATTTTTCCAGATTTTATATTTAAACTGGTCCAGATTTTTATGAATACGACCTGGCAACGCTGATTGCAACAAAGCAGGCAAGCAATATATTATTATCCTTCTACCACTCGGATCGAGCTATGTTAAAGAGCGAGTTTGTCATGGTAGTTGTAGCAACCGTTTTGTCTGTATCGTTGGTTGCTTTATGTGTTTGGATTCGCTGGCTGTGCATGATCCGTTAATGTAAGACAGGGAGAATCGGTGACAATCGGTGACAAAGTGGACTCCAACACGAAAATTCAGCACGGATCACACTTGGGAATGAAGGATGGTATTTCCGATTGGGAACTGGGATCGTGTTCGTGATGAGTTCCCGCGGATGTGCAAGGCTACTTTAGACTTCGGGCATCTTTTAAAATCAGTGAGTTAGACCCATAACTCGAATATTGGCAACCTGATTGAATCGGATTCTCTTTCCAAATGGGATACATCATTTATTTACATCTACGCTGATCCACCAACTCAGTAGTGCTGTTCAATGTTGGCATAACTTTCACCGTGATGGGGATGGTGGGCATGTCCCTTGCGCTGAACATGTGGCTGGAATCCTCCCTTGTGATCCGAGCTGTAGTCAACGACCCGGTGAGTGCCATCGGCTTCATCCAGAGTGTACTGTCCCTTGACGTGGTCTCCATCGCGGTGCTCCCACGCACTCTTGTGATCGTGGGTGTGTCCATCCTTGACACCATATTCGAACTTGTACTTTGGGTGGGCATTATGGTGATCTTCATGGTGACCAGCATAATCTCCTCCGTAGTACTGGGCAGAGGCAACAACGGCCAAACAGGCAACCAAAACGATGATCTGTGAGGGATTTGTGATGAATGTGGGATTTGATTTGTTACATTTCCAATGCTGGCACTTACCTTGAACATCTTGGATCTCCTGTAAGTGTTTTAGACGTGCTTGCTTAATGAACGCTTGCTACCGAACGACTGTTGCTAGCATGAGTTTTCCGTGTAGTTTTTATACATGCTATCGTTTGGCTCGTTCGAGCGAGTCATAAACAATATAAGTTATATTAGCTAGCTTCTGTTTGGAAAATTGAAAACAAAATCTTGCAATGCTGCCTGCTGCGGGGTGCACAGATTTGGAATTAAACTGATTTAATTAATATGGTTAATCGCATGTATGACACCCATCTGGTTTTGGTTTTCTTAACAGTATTAATGCAATTGAATGCTCGAAGCGTTTGAGCAATGTTTTTAATCGAAATGGTTGTCGCTTGCATCAGTTTAGCTTTCGGATTGAAGTTTTGGAAACCGGTGGTGATTATTTACATTTTGTGTCATAGGAATTTCGGATGGGTTGAGTAAAATACTGCACTGTATATTACGGTTAGATTTTATTTACAGTTTCGATAAATTTACATTTATACAGTTTCACTTTAAGGTCATTTGTCTATGTTCAAATAGCTGCTGGCCAATTTAAGGAAGTCTAATTGTGTATCATATGATATCATAAGTAGCAAACAGTCACGAGGACAAACTAAGCGCTTGAAGCATGTCTGTTTCTAATTAAGTGTGTGTCTTTAAGATAATTGTAATCGTGGCCAACATTTTGGACAGTGCTGAATCTTTTTGTTCTTCATTGTATTTTTAGCTAATCGTCTTACTGGGTGTGTCAGAATAAAAGAACCGGCTGAAATGCCACCGTTATTAAAACCCAAGCGTCTCTGTTGTTTGTTGAGCAGTTTTACACAAAAACTGCTGTAATATGAACCGTTAGCAGTTCCTCGTTGTCCAATACTATTTTTATATTATATTAATGATCATTCGCTCATATCTCAGGAGCTTAAGATTAATCTTCACGACACCACCGTTTTCATGGTGAAAATTAAGAATTTAGTTATTTCAACAAAAATTGTCGAATTGTCTAATTTTTAATGGATCTCAATTAGAGTTAAGTATCTTCGCAGGTTGGTTGGTATTGGGGATGTTGGGAATTACATAAAATTTAACTAGCATTTAACCCCCTACTGCCAAAGTCCGTCTTTTGGCAAGGTAGATTCAAAGTGCTGAAATAAAATAAAAGAATTTTTAAACAACTGCCCTGCCAACAATTTTTCAACAAATACACTGCTATTATTTAAGTACCATTTGCATAAATGTTAGGAATAAATTTGTTTCAAAATAATTAAAACAAGTTATGTTGAAAAATGAGTTCTGCTATTTTTTTGTAAAATTGAACAAAAGGCTCTTAGTTTCAAATAGATATTTCATCGTACTGAATATTAAACTGATCAGAGTTTTTTTTTTAAATTTTGACCAAAATTTGCTCTACAGGTTTAGTTTCAGCTGACCAAATTTAATTGAAAACAATGGAGTTTGCTTACACTTATCTAGAATCAAGATAATTTCTAGAATTTTTTATATTGACTTTATGGCCTTTCCAAAGAAAGTATGCAGAACTATCTCAAGGATCAAGGACAATGATTCTTCAGTAAAGAGCTTAGTAATATTTCACTCATGAAGATTGGTAATATTTCCAACATACACCCTAATTCTGACTGCTGTTTTTATAACTTAGAATGTTTTTGAAATTTATTGTGGAGCTTAGAACTATCTCGAGTAACCAAGTTTAAATCATTAATCGAATCTTTTTCTTGGCACCTTGTACTATTACTATACGATGGATGCTGGCAAAAAAGTGGCTTTAATGTGATTGAAATGGAATATTCTGGAATTCTACTGAAACCCCTCTGTTCATGCAAGCGACATTTACTGCCTTTGCCCTGAATTAAGGAATAGTTAATATTCTTACCAAAAGATGTCATCTTTCAATTGTGTATGTTACTGTCATTTGTACACATTGTAAAGTTATTGATACCAAGTCATTAACAAAAAATAAACTCACACAGTATTAGCTGCCTCCACCATGGCAGGACAGCGTTAATCATCATCTGTTTTAATTATCAATTCACAACGTAATAAATTGGGTCCTACCGTTATTTACTCGAGAATGGTTTAGAAGATTTTTCAGATTAACCACTCCTTAAACTTCTGGCTCTCATTAAAGATCCGAGTTAAAAATAAATAATTTAGCCATGCACAAAACGGTACGGTATAACCAAGCCAGAGGCAGCGGGTTCGATTTCCGGCCGGGTCGAGGAAATCTTTCGGGTTGGAAGTTTTTTCGACTTCCCTGGAGTATCATTGTGCTTGCCAAGCAATATACAAATTCAAGGGATAAAACGATCAGGCCAAATGCCATTAGGCCGAATTAAATAAGCTATAACGCCGGATGCGTAATGAGGTCAAAAGTCTATAGGCCGAATCGGTCGTCAGGCCAAACATTTAAATGTAATAGATTAAACTCAGACCTGTTCTTTGAAAGAATTGTCAAAAGACTCTGGGAGAAATATGTTAGAGTATTATCCGGTCTAACAGATTCTTTTATTGACTTCTTCAATACCACGAAGAAGGCAATGGAAGAATCTGTTAGATTTTTTTCAGATTTCTGTTCCAAAGACCTTAAGAATCTTGAGCTTTGGAGCATTTCCGAGATTTTCAATTATCATCATTATATTATAAGAAACACATTTCGAACAAATCATTTAAATTTAGCTGCTCTGAGACTGGCACATATGAGCGTCTATTGGAGATCAATTTGAGTCATAACAAAATGTGATTCAGCTAATTCAAACGTACTTTTCACCGAGTAACGAACTTTTCAGTCTCAAAGCACTTTATATTACATGAAATGTTTGCTTACGTATCATCCTCTATGTCAAAGATGAATTTCTTTACGTGTAAAATCAGTTATTTCTAAGCATGTAACCTTGGCAAATTAATGTTGTAATTCTCCAAACACGGGTTTACAAATTGGAGCCTTCATTTAGAAACAATTAAAGCTGGGGAATTTTTAGCCTGTGATTTTTCATAGCTCAGTTCTCCTTCATTTAATCATGAGAAGTTCACAAATCTATGATGCACCGAGTGTTCATTCCAGGTGGTGGACGAACCTGAAGAAGAAGAAGATTACTGTACAGTATGAGTGGTGCCATAAAGCCCCTTCTCGAAATGAGTGTAGTGTTAATGAACCTGGTTTACGATTCAAAAATGGCTTTTGTGATAAAATAAGTACATAACACCATCTTCATCAAAATGTAAGTAATATTGACAACAATCATAACTAGATTAAATGCAGATTTATAAGATAGCTAGCTAGATTTTTAAACATTCGCATTCAATCTCGACGACTTCTTATTATGCATGTTAAAACTTTTGACTCTCCTTGCTCTTATCCTTCACGCTTCTTTGTTAAGAATTAAATTAGTCCTCATTTATTTTCGGTAGATTTCAAACGACTTGCATATTTTTACTTGCTTCTGATTATCTGACTATTATTTTTTACATAGGGAAAATGGCTTTAATGTTAGCCTATCGATTGAAGATTGGGCCCATCGCTAAAAATCTGCTTTTTATCAGATGAACGCATCATTGGGACGGTACTAAAGGATATTTTTGATCGCTTTTGAACATTCAGTCGAATGCTGTTTTATTTATGGGCCCAAATTAGGGGCAGTTAGGCCTAAATTACATCCAATTGAGTCACGAATGCATCAGCAGACGTAAAGTGTCGGTAATAAACAACAACAACGACAACAACCTATTACAATACATAAAAAAATCGGGATGAGAAGGGACCATCCGGGCACCCAATTGGAGCGATTTGGATAGGGAGAGTGAATATGTCAACTCACTGTTGTAATTATTTCGTGGATAGAGTCCACCATGTCCCCATTTATTGGGGCATCTTCCTGTTGGATGGCTCGTTTTCTGACCAATTGGCTGATCAAGTTTTTGGAATGAGATTCTTAACTGACTCAAGGAAATGAATAGGATAATTGCCTATTAATCCATCCATTTGTGTTTGGCCCTTCATACTACTTGCTGATGACAATCAGAAGTTATTAAGCTTGATCAAGTTAAAAAGTGAGGACTAGTTTCCGTGCTACAATGAGTGGTAGACCACTATCATCATCTATCATCATCATCATAATCATCATCATCATCGTCGTCGTCAGAAGACATTGAGCGGTTCTTTCAAGGTACATTGAAGTAATATTTTTTGAAATATTGGATGAACATAAATCCAACAAATTTGTCTACGTTTTATTGCTCATTAACAATTCAATTCAGAATGCCAGATAATGAAATAGGAAAAAAAATTAAATTTCAGCCAAATGACCCATTCGGCCTATTGGAATTCGGTCTAATGGCGCTTGACCCTATTGGCGTTCGACCTGATGACTCGTCACCCAAAATCATGCATTGGTTGGCATAGAAAGCTCTCAATTAATAAAGAGCATCTAGAACTACGTTGACAGCCGGCAAAACGCTCACTACGAAATCTTAAAAAGCCTAAAAATAAGAAGAAGTATTTGGCACTGATGAAGTCTGCAAGTAGTAGACGAAATACGCGTATCTGTCAAAAGATAAGCAATTATAACGAAATTTAAAGGAAATAAACCAACCCACTCAAAGCTCTTCATAAGAAGAAGCATCCAAACGACAGTAAAATATTCATAACTTAGGCTTCGAAAGTCAGTTTCTTACCAATTGAGTTTATATTTTGACAACAATTGAGCACCGTGGAGCGAAAGCTTCACACTTTGCATCAGTTCAATGTTCATGTTATGTCTCTATAAATTGTTTTACTTTTCTAGTTTACCTTTGAACGGCTGAAACGTAAAAAAGGGCAATCAATAACTGACCGTTTGGATTACCTTGGACTTGGAAAGCCAAACACAATAAATTTCCCCACACACCAGTCAAACAACCTAATAAATTGGTTCCATGGTAATTCTGAAGAGTTTACCACAATTTAAAATTATGAAGTCATACTTATTTGATTATTTTAGAGAATTAAACGAATATCAGCATAATT